GTCAGCTATGAAAAATTTGAAATTTATCGACAAATTCTTTGATACCCCCCCACCCAAGTTCCCCCTCTAACACCCTCAAATTACCCACCGAAGGTAATTCACCTCCTATGAGAAACACTGCTCTATCTACTCATCAATCAAAAATACAAAATAAAAAGTTATCAATATACGCGGAGAAAGAAACATGTCGAGAAAAGAATTCAATGAACCCGAATGATGCAAACTGAATTGCACAACAAATTCAACGAACAAGATAGAGTATCTATTAACCATATACGACAATATCAATAATCATAACAATAATGCTTGTAACAATTTACAACGTATTGATAACAATAATAACAACCGCATTAGAATGCTGTATACGAGAAGCCACAGTTAGCACACATAAAGAACATATGATTGCCCTGAATGATCACCGATGGCACCACGTCACACTTTCGATTCAAGTGAGCACTGAAGATCTGCATGAAATAGGCAGACAACTCGGCAGCACATGGCATTTCAACGGGTAAATGGAAATAGAATTCACACTGCTCACAGATTATTGTATACGGGTCAAAATATAGCAACGGATACATCTGCAATTAAACCGAATTGTCCATCAATAATAAGTTTATAACCATTTTACGGCAACAATCCAGCGATTTTACTTTACGGCGAAAACTTATTCCAATTTCAACTTAAAACACATTCATTAGCGCCCAATAACTTATCATTAAGAACCATAATGAAATGAGAATCGTAACATTCGTTTGATCAATAATTACAACTCTATAAGAACCTACCAGGGACAAATATTTACGTCATCGAGCACAATAAAAGTCATGTTTTTTTCACGCTGGCATCCTCCTTTCCGCAAAATTAGTTAGAACTTGAAAAATTGAGCAAGTTAAAAGGATAGATGAACTATTTATTGAACTAACGTTAAATCACAACAACTACTACATAATGAACATTTCAGTTAGGCGTGCACCTTCCTGAATATTATCAATTTTTACACAAATAGTGGAAAAAACCAAGAAAATGAAACTTACTCGACAGGATGGACACGTGACTTCTTCTGAAAAGTATGATGCTACATCGGCTTCTAATCTTTCTTGTTCCAACGCTTCAAAATCTTCTAATTCTGCAAATATGTAACCAATTTTTGATAAATTATTCATAAAGTGAAAGAATTTCAACAAATCTTTGGAACAGAACTCTATTCAGAGTTTTTTTTTTGCAAGATATTCATTTATATTTATGTAGTCTAAAATTCTAGCAGATATTTTCTTATTTACTCGTAACAGCGCATCAACGCTGAAGTGGAATGCGATTGATACAAACAACAGAGTACAATATAATTAAAACAAATTGATATGAATGAACCTTTAATCGAACAAATTTCTTAGTGATTGATTCAAACCAGCATGTAGTCATTCATCTACGAACTATTCGTACAGTCACTCACCTTGTTGTAATAACTCCTCTCGGATTAATTCAAAGTCCTCAATTGCGGCCACTAAATCATCCTCTTCGAACTGCAACGAACGTCTCATCGCTTCAATTTCCTCTCTGATTATCTTATTGATCTCGGCTCGTTCAGTTTCCTCGTCCAAACCCCGCGCTCTACTCACCGCTTCTTCACGTCTTTCTCGTAAATGCTGCGCACATTTCTAAAATTTTGCTCTTCTTTTTCTGTTGATGACATACTCTCAGTAATACCATTAACAATCGATTACAGAAAAAGTTTCGAAATCTGGATTGAGTTCGCAAAGCGCCATTAAAATAATCACTTCTCGTTCATCTCACAAACTTTTGTTGTTACAAACTCAATTCCGATATCTTCACCAAATCACTCACCCAATTAAAATGATTTCAAAAATTTCTGAAGTGTTTCAGTGAAAGTTTTTGAACTGTGTGAAAGTTAGTAAAACCATGTGAATAGAAAAAACATTGAAACGAATGATTACTTTACGTAATTCCTCTCTCCAATTGGCACCCTTCTTTTTGTACAAGTTCATACGATTGGCTGCAGTTGAGTGACCTTTAACCCTGCTATCAACATGCTGATCAGATGATGCATCATCAACTTCCATCATCTGTAGTCATCATCAACATTTGAAGCTATTGAATAACTCGGAAAATTTCAACGATATGCAGCATTCGAGATGAATCAAGTTCAGATAAAATTTAAGAAAAAGCGAATGCCGAAAAAAAAAGAATTCGAATCGAACACAACAACGACGCAACGATATTATCTGAATCGCAGAAACTAGGAAATTTCAATGAACATTCCTAATCCTATTCAACATCATCGACTATTTGACTAAGAATTGTATCACTGAACTTTAGAGGTGCATTAATTATTTGCAGCTAAGAATGCGATAAATTATAGAATGATGTTGAAACTGTCGGATGTGGCCGACTAAAATATTGATTTTAAAGAGTCCAAAATTTTAGTCAAGCCATAAGTTTCTTGACTCAATTACACAAAAACACAACACAAAATAATGCACGGAATCAGTTGAAATAGTGTTTGCTGCTTGAATAAGGTGCATCTGGTAGTTGTGCGGTGAATGGAAGGGTGTAAATTTAAAATATGATGACATAATGAATTGAGATCAAGCTTTGTTTTATTTATTGCGGCCACATTCACAATAACACTCGCTAGCTGAAGTCAGGGTCTGAGCTTCACTGATGATATGGAATCAAAAACGAAACAATTCTGTTGCTGGTATGTTAAATCAGCTATGATTTTTAAGCGCTTGAAATAGAATGAAAATCGGAATAAATTGTGAAAATAAACGTGTGTGCACGCGAAAGATATAATGAAAGATACGTTAATGATACCATCGAATCGAAAAATACTTTTTGAACGAGACGATGAGTGCACTATCGATGAGACAGCCGAGCAAAACATCGAGTGATAAGCACAGTACAGCAATAAAATAACTTCATCACGTTCGCTTATTAGCATGATCAAAACACACACACACATTCCCAACTAATAGCTTCTTAATTAAATGCGATGCAATTTCACTGCTCTTTTGAAAATGATAAGTAGAAACTTTCCATAGAAATAGGCAAATATATTGGCACAAAAACTGGGGGGATTTCACTATTGAAAACATTTTGTTGGAAAAAAAATTCAGAAATGTCTTTTTTGTGGGAATGAATAAAACATTATGGGTGCGAAAATTCTTCATATACCTAAATACCTTCTTCATATAGGATGCAACATAAATTTTATGCCAATCAAGCAAATAAAATGAAAGTTGATGACACAATAACTTTAGAAACGTTGAAAGAATATAGTAATAAAGATTAGAAATGAATATAAAGCCGAAGAAATAAAACCAATCTTGAAATATTTTTTTTTGTGATAACGTTGACTAAAAAAATGGAGAAAGCATTAGAAGAATAGCTCAAAACAAACACGCGTACAAAACTTACGATATTACTGTAGACTTCGACAAAGTCATCAAACTGCTATTCGACGAGCGTTGCTTCGTGATAATTCTCTTTCCGAATTGAATTCAGTTTTGTTGAAAGTCAGTGATAAGCTAACGATACGCTATCATTATACACCAAACAACAATAACAATGGCCTATTACCACTTGTTATCGAAACAAATATTAATTCGATTCAATCACAAAACTGATCGACATCATCAACAAATCTGTGGTATGTTCTGATGATGATACATTGTGATAATAAGCATTGTTTGTTAAGGAATGTCATCCTTGACAAATGGCTTAATTGTTTAAATACTGACAATTAAATTTATTTATCGCTTTCATTCCTTCCAAAAGCTACAACAACCATTCAAACAATTAAAAGAATGGTAATTTTTACAAATAACACAAAACAAGACAAGTTGACTCGGTTTGATAGAATGATCTGTGCAAAAAAAAATAACAAATATAATGAAGATGAAGATTCGTGTTCAACGACAACAACAAAGATAACTTCAAAAGAATTGTGAATCAATCGAAATTCATCGACCAAACAATCGAAGTTGTCGATAATACATCACAAAAACATCACTATACATTATGGAAATGGAATTTCTTTCAATGCGGTTTGAAAATTACAATAGAAATTCATTTCAATTAAAGTTTCATCAAATTACACTTACAATTAATATTTCAGTTTCGAAACAAATTGCTCGTTCATTTCCTTCGATGAATTCAAATTGTTAGTTGACAAACAGAAACAATGATAAGTATTCAACGAAAGTCTGTGAAGTTAAACGAGTGATCTGAGAACAGTCAGTCCCATTCTAGCGCCAGCCTCACACTAGATCTAGCCGTGTTGATTCCAGCAGTGTTTTCAAAACTTCTGCTACGATTTCTAGTGACGAATAATGCGGGCGAAAAGTTCATGTGTTTGATTGGAGTTCCGTCTTGAATGTGAAGACTGAATGCGATAGCCGTTATCGGACGATGACGAGTCAGGGCCGGAGATGAGATGATAATGACTGAAGTGCCGACTGTGCAAATGCAACTTTCTTGGCTGGAACATGATCAAGGAATTGCGTTGGTGCCACGAATCGAGGGTGACTCATCGAAGTGTGTTGCTCTGTTTGATCGTCGTATGATTCTGCTTTTGCATTCATGATCACCATTCGAAATCCATGATAAGATAATAGCGCGCCCAGAAACAACGTTAGATGCGAGAAGTGATACAATTTCATACACACAATCTCTATACACTCATATTTTCGAGAGCTTCGTTAGCAAACTTCATTGACATGCGACCATATCTTACGGCAATTATTTTCCACATCTCCGTCAAAACATGTTATCTGTCCTCGATATTGGGCCATCCATCCATTTAGCAACTCTACTTCTCCCAAATATATTAAGTATTCACTTTCACGCGTGCGCATAAAAGTACTCTGAACAATTTGAACGGCATCTGCTTACATGCTTCTCGGCAATCATCAGAGGTAATTGCCTGGGAGCAGTTGTTAGGGTGACAATTGTTCAGGGGACAACTCTCCGAAGGACAGTCATGTACGAGGCAGTTGTTCTACAATCATGACGAATATCCTCACAGAAACAATCTTCTCTGAATTTACCAAGCACGATGATAAAATAGGAAAAAATACGAGCAAATTTCAATACAGATAAAATTACAGAATAACGCTTTATGTGGTATCTACAACAACTATTTAACAGTGAAGAGAGAAAATTGAACAGTTTAACAAATAGAGAAATACTTTGTAACGGGTAGCAACACATTACTGGCACATGCCATGTGTGTATAAACCGATCTTGAGACATGCACATTGTTGACACAGGAATGGTAATGAAAGCGATCAAGACTTACAAACAGATATCAACATGATTAATCAGAATAATACCGTAAACAAATATGATTAAATTAATGGAAACAAATAAGTTAGTCATAAAGAAATCGATGAAACAGAAATAATGAATAGTCACAAAACACAACAGTAATGTCTTAACAAATGCAGAGTTTTCCAGATGAATACGGATGAATTTTAACTGACACTTTAAAGAGTCATCTTGAAAATCATACATATCGATCTCGAAGACTCCGCAAATCAACCATCAAAAAAGTGATTGGTTTGATTAATTAATATGAGAGAATATTTGACTAAATTTTCACTCCCTCCTCTCTCTCAGAGCCGATTGAAAATGAAATATAACAAAATCGAACATCCGAAATAACAAATAAATAATTCAGTTGATGAATGAATGAATAAATACGCCTATAATAAGCGCCACAAGGACTCGCGAAATGAACTCAACTCAAATTCAACTGTTTAATTCAGTGCAACGAGATGAAGAAAGCATCGACAGCAAACGCACGATTCATAACAAAGTTCGGCACCGATTGTTCATTGACAATTCAAATCAGTACTGCTGATAAGGTGGATATGATGAATAATAAGTGCCACCATATACGTTATTCGGCTGTATGGAAGGAGGAGGAGGTTGCTCCAAATTGACTGCAGGCATCACCTGGAATCCGAGAGGAGTAAGAGAAGATGGTGGCTGCTGAAGGCTACAAGCAGCGTAATAGGGATCTTGTGTAACCCTGCCAACACCTGCATAGATTGCGTGCACAGTGGTAGAATCAAATTGTGGTACGGTTGTAGTGCTGCCATCATATAAAACTTGCTGTTGAGGTTGCTGCATAAGCGATGTTGTTGGCGCACACACAGTCGCGAGACTGTTCTCAACACCAATCGTAGATGTATACAGCGGTTGAGTGGCGTTTGTGAAGATGAAATCGGCCATTTGTGACGACGACGACATACAATTCGATGTGATGATCGGTTGAGAATACTTTGTTGGTTGTGCACTGTACTGAGTGACGACCGTAGCAGTTGAGGTTGACTGTGACGATGAATGAGGATCACTCTTAATATTATTATCATTGCTATTTGTACTATCAGCATTGTTATTATTGAGGGTCTTTGATGAGTGGACGGTGGATGCAGTGGACATACAAGATGAAACCTTTCTCTGACGTGCGTCATCAGATTTGTTGATGGATGAACAGGATGCAACTCGCTTCGAATTATTTGTTTGTTGCTGTTTTTTATTGATACTGTTGAATAGAGCCGAAATATTCGAGCCGAGATCCTCCCATGTTGCCGTCTTTTCGACTGCTGAGCTGCTGAATGCGTTCGACACCATCGACGAAATATTCGACTCTGACATTGTTTTGCTAGGAATTGATGATGATAAATATCCGTTACGTTGAACCATGTTCGGATCAAACGTTCGATCACTACACCCACCGTTAGCATCGCCATCACCCGTCAGATGTTGCTGCCATGAAGGAGAGAACTGATCCTTGGACGTGTCACTGATATTGATGTCATCATCTAATTCGATCGGTTCCACTGCTGCTCGTGTCGATGCTTCAGCTATTTCGACCGCTTTTGCTGCGAGAAAGGCAGCACGACGTTGTGCACGCCTCTCTTTTCTGCTCAACGTCTTCTTTGCATTCGCATCATTTCCCATATTCAATTCATTTTGATCGAAATTATCCAAACGATTCGACGTGATTGCTGGGGCATTAATGAAACTCGATGAGCGGATGTCCTTTTCGACGGTACCCATCGTATTCCACGCATCCACTGAGGTCTGTTGAAGAGAAGATGAGCTGGGAGATAATCCACAAGCGGTAGCCTTCAACATCATCAAATTAATTGATATTTGATGCTCCATCCAATCGATATCATCGGTTCAGTGAACAACTTCCAAATTCGATATCCGCACAAATAATGATTGACGATTACTAGTTCTGTGGTGAGACGATCAACGTGTGAGTATTAAGAAAAAAAAAACTGAAAAAGCAAAACAGAGGGAGCAAAAGGGCAAAAAACGAAATCTAAAATCGACTCACAACAGTCGTCGTTCTCAAGTTTGTATTATTGGCCGGATTATTCGCTCCGGTCCACTGGCTAAGGCCTGGTTTAGTGTCAAGTAATTTTTGTCTATGTTGATAGTCAGGATTCTTCCTCGTCTTCGCCATCACAAACCTTCTCGATTTTTCATGCTTATTCGCTCCTTTCAAATTGGTTCGTTTATTAATTGATGATGCTTGAAGAGAACTTCTCGCTGAAACTCCAGCTGCACCAGAAAGCGCACCGGTTTTATCTTTAACTCTTGCGATCTGGTGCCCGCCATCACCTATACACGCACATACGACACGGATCAAAATCAAAAAATATTCACGAATGAAAGAAAAAAACAAAATGAAGCCAACCATACATAAAATTGAGAGGATATTTCCTCAGTAGCTTATCATAAAAGGGAAGTAATCAAACTTCAATACCCTAACAATCATTCTATACAAGAAATCATTCGGCTAAACTTACCGGATAAAAGCGACGATGACCGTAGCGCATCGTTCGATGGTACTGAATTTGTGGATGACACATTTCTTTCGTTTTCGATCAGTTTTGCAGCTAACTTCTTCAACTTTTGTCTGGCCGCATAAACATCTGTGATCGAAGATATTTTTTCGATCAATCTGCCGAGATCTGATGTATCACCTGACAGTGCTGCTGTTGCGGAGTCATCTGGTAGCGGTTCTCTATTCGTAGAAACACTGTTGAGCCATGAACAAGTGGTATGTTNGGTAAGCCGTTTGTGCAGAAGTGTTATCCAGCCGAACGTTATCTGAGCTTTGTTCAGAGAGGATCTGTGCTCCTGGATAGACGAAACTTGCCGGACCAGACTGCTCGTCCACCGATGCCGCCGCTATTCCTTAAAAACTTCAATGAATTCTCTCTCTACGAATATGAACTGAAGATTCCAGTCAAGCGCACATTAATTTTAAGTTTTTAATGTGCGCTCGTTAAAATATAGTATCATATATATATACGTAAAGTTAATAGTTGTATAGTAATAGCAAAGTTAATTGCGTGGCAGAATGAATGCAAAAATATTTCCTCCAATATCTAACTTCCTAATATCGCGAACATTTCAGGTCCCAATCACTGTAAAATTTCCAATCACTTCTCTAATGAACAAATCTTTCATCCCATTCCATATAATGGACGAGAGAAGGCGGAAGAAATCAGTTACGGAAGATGAGGATAGAATCAATTAGAAGGCATCGAGAACGAACCAAAACTTTGAAGATTCAGTTGACTGCCAGCGGCGTTGCTGTCGTAAGATTGTGCGTTGTTGATGGCACCAGTCGAAGACGAATCGTTCGTAATCAAACTGCAAAGTTGTTGCAGAAGGCTGTCTGCCGATTGCATACCACTCGATGAGACACCAACTTCTTGATAGAGTTGCGCAATGGTTGACTCATCCAACATATTGCCACGTCTCTCACATTCTTGTTGCATCGTGACGATCAATCCCAACAGCTTACGCATATCCTCTTTTGGATCACGTTGCTGCTTCACTTGTTCCGCCTTCTACAAATC